ACTTATGAAACAAAGAATCAGCTGATTACGTGAAACAGCCGTGAAACAGAAAATACCGCAGGGAAAAATCCCTCGCCCTGGGAACAATGTCAGACACGTAAATACAAGCAAAAACATGGCCGATCGATGCATACGACGCCATAGAAACCCGTTCGCATAACTAATACATACAATACACTTTCGCATTTTTATCGCCGCGTAATCTGGCACGTAAATCAGACCCACACGACCTGACCCTCCTCCCCCCTCGCAAAAAAGGGAATACTAAAAAAATAAAAATCATTAGCTTCCTCGCCCTTTCACTCCGCCTCCTCGCCTTGCCGTTCGTGTAAGTCCGGATTCGTCGGATCCGAGTTACACGAACGCCGGTGCGCGAGGTCCTTCTGCGCTCAGGGCTTCACGTCAGCCGCTCCCCCCCCCCCCCCCCCCCCCCCCGAGGCCCCCGGCTTCCTCGCGAGGTCCTCGTCGAGAGCCGGGCATTTTCCTTGTGAAATTCTAATCAGTGAACGACGTCAGTGGCCTCCGTCGCCGCGGCGCATGCGCACGGCCCTTGTCACGGAAGGTCGATAGGAATATATCTATATATAATGGCGTTTTTTTTAGACGTGCGGCATTTTATAGATTGAATGGAAATGACTTTTTGTCAGCGTATGTAATTTGGCGCGCACGCGCGTTTGGTTGTGTGTGTATGCGTGCGTGAACATGCGCATAAGTGTGTTGGTGTGCATGTGCGTGCGCGCGTCTGCATGCAAAGGGCAAATGCATGCCTACACAGTGTGCCACATTCCCCTCCCCAGCCGAAAGCGACCCCCCCCCCCCGCGCACGACCCCTCCCCGCCGCCCTTCCCTTCGCTCCTCCCGGCCGTCAGCTGTTCGGCCTCCGGAGACGTCGCGAGCGAGAGCCTCCTCGCGGCCGCCCTCTGCTGGAAGCTGCATTGACCGGCGCGATAATGTCTCTGTCGGCGGACGCCAAGAACGGCACGATAAACACGAAATCGATGCCAAGGAGCAAACACGAAAGGAAAAAATCATCACGTGAGTCACCTCCATTTATCAGCGATTTTTTAATTGGGACTCCGACGGGAACGTTTTCATGCAGGCCATCCTAATAAACAAGGAAGAGACACGGGTAATAGATTTCCAGAGAGAGAGAGAGAGAGAGAGAGAGAGAGAGAGAGAGAGAGAGAGAGAGAGAGAGAGAGAGAGAGAGAGAGAGAGAGAGAGAGAGAGAGAGAGAGAGAGAGAGAGAGAGAGAGAGAGAGGAGGAGGAGGAAGAAAAACAGAAGCAAGAAGATGAGCAGGAGATGGAACAGCCACCCAATAGGAGGAAGAGAAGAAGGAGAAGGAAAAGGAGCAGGAGGAGGGGCGAGAAAGCCGTCCTCAGTGGGGCGAACAGTCCCTTCTCTCCTTCAGACTACCTCCTGAGCACTCATACACTGGCGCTGCAACATGTTATGGAGTCTCGGATGCAGCAGGCGGAGGGAGCTCGAGGAAGGGGAATCAGGAAAAAGGAGGAGGAGGAGGAAGGAGGAGGAGGAGGAGGAGGAAAGAAGAAGAAGAAGAAGAAGAAGAAGAAGAGAAGAAGAAGAGGGAGGAAGAGGAAAATGGTGGAGGAGGAAGGAGGAGAGAAGGAGAAAAAGAGGAAAAGAAGAAGAAGAAAAAAGAGAAAGAGACGGAAGAGGAGGGGGGTGCGGGGGACGACCTACCGGAGGGCGAGGCCAACACTCGCACTCCACGCAAAGGTGGTCCCGGCAGTCGTCATCGTCGTGGTCTCGTCATACGTGGCTGCTGTACCAGATGCACGACGGCAGACACAGACACAGACACAGACACAGACACAGACGCAGACGCAGACCACACGCAGTCAGAGCAGACGCAGACAGACGCAGACGCAGACGCAGACCAGACAGACGCAGACACAGACACAGACACACGCAGACGCAGACGCAGACACAGACGACCAGACACGCAGACACACCAGACGCAGACACAGGACAGAACAGAACAGACCACAGACACAGACACAGACGCAGACACAGACACACAGACACATGCGCCCCCCTGTCCCCTGCCATGAATGGTGATGAACTGGAGAAATGGGCGTCCGAGTTCAGTCTAATATCAGCCATGCACACGCGCCCGCCCCGCTCTCTCGCAGGCGGTGGGGGAGGAAACGCCATTAGCCTTCTGTTCAATCGCGCGTCGGATTCCATTTGGCGATCGAAATGCGCACGCTCTCGTCTCTCTCTCTCTCTCTTGTCTCTCTCTCTCTCTTTCTCTCGTTTCTGTCTCTCTCTTCTCTCTCTTCTCTTCTCTCTCTCTCTCTCTCTCTCTTCTCTCTCTCTCTCTCTCTCTCTCTCTCTCTCTCTCTCTCTCTCTCTCTCTCGCTCGCTCTCTCTCTTCTCTTCTCTCTCTCTCTCTATCTCTAATCTTTCTCCTTCTTTCTCTCTCTCTCTTCTTCTCTTTCTTTCTCTCTCTCTCTTCTCTCTCTCTCTCTCTCTCTCTCTCTCTCTCCTCTGTCTCTGTCTCTCCACACACACAACCCACACCCACACACACACACACACACACACACACACACACACACACACACACAACACGCACGCACACACACGCACATTCAGCCCCCCACGCACACTAGAAATCGCCAACCGTTAACAATGTTCAATATAGAGAGTTCTGATAGAAACTGAACAAATTCCCGATGTTTCATGGAGAAATGTATCTGAATTTCACATCCGCTAGGAAGGGGAGCTCAAACGATGGGTCTGCATATATATAATATATATATATATATATATTATATTATATATATATATATATATATATATTATATATATATATATATTATATATATATATATTTATATTCATATCAATATATATTGTACATAAATGTACAAATACATTCATACATATATACATATATATAAATATAAATAAATACAGTTATATATATATTTATATATATATATATATATATATATATATATATATATATATATATATATATATATATATATATATATATATGCATATACATATATACACACATATATACATACATACACAAACACACATATCTATGGATACAGATACAGGGTACATACACATATACACGAATGCATACGTACATGAACACCCGTAGCAAATAATAATAATAATAATAATAATAATAAAAATACTCCCGTTGCTCCCACCCTCCACCCCCCCCCTACCCCCAACCCCCCACCCCCCACCCCCCACCCCCCGCCTTCCCCCCAGTTTGGCGTCGCGTTCAAAATTGTCTGTTCCTTTCGGCTGGGCATTACTGGTGGTCATTCGCATGCAAATCTAATGTATGGCTGAAATACTGATCGCTGGGCTCGTGTCGCCGACGGGGGGGGGGGGGGTCGGTCTCTTCCGGCGCGGGGCTCAAGGGGGAGCAATTTCGGGTTATTTGTTCATGGCGCCTGGCGGACCATGGGGTGTGTTGTGTGTTTTGTGTGTTGTGTTGTTTGTGTTTGTGTTTTGTTTGTGGTGTGTTGTGTTGTTTGTGTTTGTGTTTGTGTTGTGTTTGTGTGTGTGTTGTTGTGTGTGTGTGTGTGTGTGTGTGTGTGTGTGTGTGTGTGTGTGTTGTGTGTGTGTGTGTGTGTGTGTGTGTGTGTGTGTGTGTGAGTGTGCGCGTGTGTGCTTGTATTTGCGTTTGCGCGTGCGTGCGTACGTGCGTGCATGTATCTGTGTGTGCAAAGACAATATCGTAATCAATAGCTATACCTGTACACAATTTGTTCAGAAAAACGTTGCATTCAACCCTTGGTATATATATTGTGCAGATTGTAAAAGTTTTGGAAAACAATTTACAGCATGGCGCGCGAATATTTTACCGAGGGGGAGACTGACTCTTTGTGTTCCGCGCGCCCGCCGTAGACGTTGGCTCACTGCAGTTTATTGGGGGAGGGGGTGGGGTGGGGTGGGGGGGTGGGTGAAGCCGTGAGCCATTATTGGCGCGGGTTCATGCCGGGTTACGGGTCCTCCGCCGCGAGCCGGGATGGAGGCCGATCCCGCGATTACTCTATACGGATGGAGGGGGGGAAGGAGGGGAGAGAGGGGGGGGGGGTGAGAGAGGGGTGATGGGAAGGGGGGAAGAGGGATAGGTGGGGAAGGGGGAAAAGGGGTTGGAAGGGGGGAAAGGGGGAAGGGGGAAGGGGGAAAGGGGGAGGGGTGGTTGAGAAGTAGGGGGGAGGGGGGTAGGTTGGGAAGGGGGGGGAAAGAGAGATGTGATAGAGGGGGTAGAGGTAGTCTAGGGGAAGGCGGTGGGGGGGAAGAGGTGATGTTGGGGGGGGGGTCCAGGAGGAAGGGGGGAAGGGGTCAGTCCACCCTTTTCCGTGTGCATTCAGAGACGACGAGTGCATCGCGACCTCATCGGTGCCCCGTTGCAAAAATCTCTGCAGAATCTCCTCTCTCCCTTTTAAATCTAATGAACCTGATATTCAAATTTGCCAATCTACAAAAAAAATCTTTAACACCTTGTTCGAGCGATTTCCATTAATTAACAAGGATAAAAAGGAAAAAAAAAAAAAGGTCAGATTAACTGCCGTGCCAAATTCGCCTCTATTACTGCAGCGCCAGCCGGAGTTTCCCTTCCTCCACGCCCTTCAGAGGGCTTAAAATGCCCAGGTCCCTTCCTCGCCCACCGGCCAGGCTCTCCTTCCTTCCCTTCCCTTCCCTTTTCGATTTTCTCTTCCTTTTTTTCTGTCTTTCCCTATTTCTCTCTTCATTTCCCCCTCTTCCTCTTTGGTTGGCCTCCTTTGCTGTCTCCATGTTGTCTTCCTCTTCTCTCTTTCTTTCCTTCTTTCTCTTTCTCTCTTTCTTTCTTTCTTTCTTTCTCTCTCCTTACTCTCACTAATACAACCCCTCCCTCTCCTCTCCCTCCCCAACCTCCCCAAACTCCCCTCCCCTCCCCCCTCCCCTCCCTACCCCTCCCCAAAACTACAGAAAGGAGAGCATCCAGGAACTTACCTTGAATATGGTTGATGGGGTGACTGTGTTGTAGGATCTGATCTGCGAGTTTCTGTGCGGTGGGCAGGACCTCCGTGTGGTGTTCGCTAATGAGATACTGTACCATTTTTTGTAGCTGCTGTCTGTCCATCTGCAGAAGGGTCTCTGTTGGGGGAAGGGCGAGAGGAGGAAAGGAAAAGTGGTGTTAGTGCGGCGGGCGACACAAACCAGAACACGCTGCGTTCCTCCGACTGAGACAGCCTAGTGTTCTTATCGGGGAATCTCTCTCTCTCTCTCTCTCTCTCTCTCTCTCTCTCTCTCTCTCTCTCTCTCTCTCTCTCTCTCTCCTCTCTCTCTCTCTCTCTCTCTCTCTCTCTCTCAGCACATCTTTAAGTATCTGACTGGTGGGTATTCTCTCTAAGGACACATGAAATATCTCACTCTGTATGAACAAGGGACATACAAAAAATACAACTAAATAAACTAATAATATAGCAATAACAACAACAATAATAATCACAACAGTAATATTACCAACAATAATAATGACAACAATAATTATACCAATATCAACACCACACCCCTTACACCCACAACCCAAACCCAATCATAACCACACCCAAAAATACCCCAATACCCCCCAAAAAAATCCAACACCCACACGAAATACCACACGGGACCTTACCTGAGATGGGTATCCTGAGCTGGACGGTGTCAGCGTGGCGGATTCGGTGCAGGGAGAGTGCCACCACGTGAGGGCACCAGAAGATGTCGCGTGTGTCACATGAACATGTTACAGAAGTTATCTTGCATCTGGCGGGCGGAGAAAATCATTAGTTGGCTGGACATCTCTTCGCTACATTGAGTAATGGTGGCAATGGGGGGTAATGTTAATGGTAGATGAAATAACAAGAACAACAACGGTAAGAATAATAATAATAAGAGAAGAACAGGCAGACAAAAAATAGACGGAATGGCAGAAAAGAGACAAATCATAAGAAAGAAAGACTGAGAAGAAAAAAAAAGAAAAAGAAAAGAACAGGAAAAAGAAAAACGAAAAAAAAAAAACACGAAAAAGCGAACCCGCCACAGAAAGACCCCCACCCACCCCCTCCCCCACCCCCACCGCTCCCAAAGCAAAAGGAGAAAACCCTCGATACCAGCAATACCAATACCCGAATCCCTTGCCATCCCGAGCAGCCAGTCAGCGAGAGGGAAGGGGGAGGGGGAGAAGGATAAAGAGGGGGAGGGAGGGGAGTGGATAAAGGAAGGAGAGGAGTAGGATAAAGAGGGGAGGAGGGAGGGGGAGTAGGATAAGAGTGGGGGAGGGAGGAGGAAGATAAAGAAGGTGGGGGAGAGATGAGATGGAGGAGGGATGAAAGAGGATCGGGATGAGAGAGGTGGAGGAATAGAATAAAGGAGGGGAAGGGAAGAAAGGAAGAAAGAAGGAGGAAGATGAATAGAATAAAGTATAGAAGTGAAGAAGAGATCTGATGAGTGGGATCGAAAAGGAGAGAGAGAGAGAAGAGAAGAGAGAGAGAGAGAGAGAGAGAGAGAGAGAGAGAGAGAGAGAGAGAGAGAGAGAGAGAGAGAGAGAGAGAGAGAGAGAGAGAGAGAGAGAGAGAGAAGAGAAGACAGAAAGAGAGAGAAACAGAGAGAGAGAGAGAGGAAGTAGAGGGGGTAAGGGGTAAACAAAGGGGTAAGGAGGGGGTGGGGGGCAACAGATCTCTCTTCCCTAATTTAAACGACAGTATTTCATCAGGGTTTCCGCGTCGCGATTGCTAGAGTGTGCAATATCAGTGCCGGCAGTGCCACCTCTAGAGCCCCCTTGTTATCTGGCACTCGGGGCTGGCACTGTCTCGTCCTCCTCCCTGGCCTCTCCTCCAAAGGCTGCTCGGACCCCCCTCTCCCTCTCTGTCTGCCTCTGTCGCTGTTTGTCTTTCTTTTTATTTAGCTCTCTTATTCTCCCTTCTTTTCCCTCCTCTTCTCTCCCTCTTTCTTCCTTCTTCCTTCCCTCTTCTATCCTTCTCTCCATCCTCCCTCTCTCCCTTTCCCTCCCTCCCTTCCTTCCTCTCATATCTCTCTCTCCCTTTTCTCCCTCTCCTCCCTTCCTTCTCTTCCTTCCCTCTCTCACCTCCTCCCTCCTTCTATCCCTCTCTCCACCTTCCCTCTCCTCCTCCTCCTCTTCCTTCCCTCTCTACCTCCCTCCTCTTCCCTTCCCTCTCCTATCCCTCCTCCCTCTTCCTCCCTCTCCTCCTCCCCTATCTCTCTCCTCTCTCCCCTCCTCCCTCCTCTCCTATCCCTCTCTCCACCTCCTCCCTTCTCTCCCTCTCCCTTCTCTTTTATGGCTACCTGTGGGACTCGTTCATTTTGGCAAGTACCGGCTGCAAGTGCATGTCTCCTCCTTGCATTCATTTAAAGTAGCAACAGCCAAAGCACAAACATTGATTTCTATCTTAGGAACCACAAAAACATTATCTTTGGCACTACTGGATCACTGGACTCTCTCAGGAACCCATGGAACACTGGATACTATCTTGGAAACCGGTAGATCTATCTTAAAAAACAATTAATTAATTATTTTCCATGTTAGAAACCGGGGAATCGCTGAACTGTATCTTTGGAATCCATGAAAACTTTAAATTCTATCTTAGAAACCAATGAACTTTTATCTTAGGAACCACTGGATCACTGAACTCCATCTTAGAAACCGGTGAATCCCTGAACCCTATCTTTGGAAACCAGTGAACCTCATCATAGAAACCACCCACTGAATCACTTAAAAAAAAAAAACCCTCCTTTAAAAAACCACCAAACCAGAAAAAAAAAAATAAAAAAAAAATAACTTCACAGCATCTAGACAAACCCCCCCCCCTTGAAACCCCACTTCGAAAACGCCCACACCATTCAAACCTCCCGTACCTTACGAAACCCATTGACCTCCCTATCTTCGGAACCACCGACCTCCATCTCAGCGCACGGGGGGGGGGGGGGGGGGGGAGACTTAACGAACCGGCTCCCAGGGTGTGGATTATCTGCCTCTAAAACCGGCGATTAACAAGAACTTACGAGATTATTCTGTTACGATCGACCAGTATATCGCGACTCGACTCCAGATCACTAAACACAGGCGGGGAGGCTGGGCTGTAAACCACAGGCGAAGGAGGAAGGAGAGAGAAGGAGAGAGGGAGAGAGAGGGAGAGGGAGAGGAGAGGAGAGGAGAGAGGGAAGATAGGGAGAAGAGAGAGAGAGAGAGAGAGAGAGAGAGAGAGAGAGAGAGAGAGAGAGAGAGAGAGAGAGAGAGAGGGGAGAGGAGAGAGAGAGAGAGAGAGAGAGAGAGAGAGAGAGAGAGAGAGAGAGAGACAGACAGAGAGAAAGAGAGAGAGAGAGAGGGAGGGAGAGAGAGGGGGAGGGAAGGGAGGGGAGGGAGACACAATATATATACACAAGAGAAAATGCGAGAGGGCTAAGGATATAAGAACTGGGATATCGAGAGGATGGAAATGTAAAAGAGAAAATGTGATAAACAGTGAGGAACAGAATGTATAAGAGACTAGAACATATCAGACATTACATAAAACCCCAATGTAAAACGGTTTTTATTCCGTAATCAATCGACCTCCACACACCACAAACCCCAACCCCCCCCACACAAACCCATCAACCCAACAGACCCCCATCCCCCCCACACATCAACCCCCCCCCCTCCCCCCCCAAAACCCATCCCACCACTCGAATAAAACACCCGCCCTCTCTCCATCACCAACCAACCCCCCCATATTTCCCACCCGGGCCGGATGACAAGACCCACCCCCCCCACCCACCCAAACCCCCAACCCCGCAAACAACCCTAAATCATATTCGCAAGACACAAATTTGCACGCGGCCGAACGCGCCGTTAGCACAGACGCAGCTCAACCATAAACAACCATTAAGACGCTAACAACCAGTTCGTCTGATGACCCAGGCTACACGACACGCCCGCGGAGGTAGGAGGATCATGGGTGGTACGTCGTGGGTGGGAGAGAGAGACAGAGAGAGGCCTTCGGTTGTGGGCGTGGCGTGGGCGGGCTGGCCAGATGGCTGTGGTGGGGGTGCATTTTTTATTTCTTCTCCCTCCTGGTAATGCATATTTCTATGTCTGTCTGTCTGTCTCCCTCTCATGTGGACCTCGGAAAGGTGTGTGTGTGGTGGGTGGGCGTGTGGTGGGCGGTGTGAGTGGGCGGGTGCATAGGTGGGTTGGCGGAGTGGGTGGGTGCATAGGTGGGTGGGCGGATAAGTGGGCGGGTGAGTGAGTGGGTGCATAGGTGGGTTGTCTATTGAGTGGGTGGGTTCTCAAGTGGGCGTGTGAGCTCGTAGATGGGTGGGTTGTCTGTCTAGTAAGTGGGTGGCTGTCTAGGTGGGTTCTCAGGTGGTGGCTGAGCGGGGTAGGTGGGTGGGTTGTGTGTAGTAAATGGGTGGCTGTCTAGGTGGGTTCTCAGGTGGGTGGGCTGAGTGGGTAGGTGGGTGGGTTGTCTAGTGGTGGGGTGGGCGTCGCGGTGGGCGGACGGCGCGGCGGTCATTAATGCGCGTTTATTACTTCGGTCAGATGAAAGAGCGATGGTTTCAGCTACAGTATTCATAACGATAAAAAGTAGACATGGAGAAGATAGTGATAATAAAAAACAACAATAATAATAATGATAATATAAATAATAACAATAATAACAACAATAAATAATAATAACATAACAATGATAATACTAACAACGACAACAAACACTCCCCCTCCCCCTCCCCCCCTTCCTCAGACGTCCAGCAAGAGGACCCGAACAGCGATCGTCCCCCCTCCCTCCCCCCCTGACCCCCACGCCCCCGCACTCTCACACTTTTCTTCATTTTCATGCTAATTTTTTCATCTGCATAGAGATGGCTTGTCATCCTCCTCGTACTTAGGATGTTTACGCACTGGCTGAGCTTTCCGTAGAGCTTTCGTAAGGTTTCGTAGAGCTTTTTGTAGTGCCTTCATAGAGCTTTCGCAGAGCTTTCATAGAGCTTTCGTTGTGCCTTCGCAGAGCTTCCATAGAGCTTTTCAT